GCCCAGGATGGAAAAAGAGATATCACGATTGTATAGCAGATAATTAGTGAAAGGACTGGCTTCCCTTGTCCCTTTGATGAGTTCATGCATGATACCAAAAATGGCAAGTCTCACTGATGATGCCGGATAAATGTAAGGAAATGTACCACGTCCACGATCCGAATCTGGAAATTATCATACATACAATAGACGTTGGACTAGGTGCGTTCCTCTTGGTCTTTCTAACAATATGACCGAGTTGTGAAAACAATGTCAAACAAATTTTATCATTGAGAATGTTTGCAAGAAGTATGACCATCATTGCGATCGAATAAAATGATGCATCTGAGATAAAATGCCGTTCCTTTAAACGCCATTTGCTGGTAGGAATATAAAACAAGAATATCCGCATTCCGATAAATTAGAAATGGACATACTGAGCTCTTGCTGCATTGAACTAGTAAAACTTTTTGTGACTCTTCTAGATGGCAGTATAACAACCAAAACAGTAAAACAGATCTCTCTATGATGGATTTATAAGCATTGCTAATAACGCATTTCTTCGAAAAGAGTAAATAAATTAAAAATATCAATTTTGGATCTTCCCTCCAGGTACTCTACAGTCAATAGCTTATTCATCGAAAAAACATATTCTCTGAAGGAGCAAATTTAGTCAATTCAACCAAGCAATAGAAAGTGGACAAAATGAATGTATGATGAAGCCAAGGAATTTTTTAGCAATGTAAGATGCAAATAAATCAATTAAATGCATAAAAAGCGGGGATTTTCTTAGTAAAATTGCCATAGTTTGGATAATAGGTGAAAAAGATGTATAAAAATGTAAAGAATTGAAAATAATTCTTATACTAAGGCTCTCAACGTTAAAAAAAGAAGTAAAATAAGCATTATCTATTCAGAATAAGAAATGATTAAACGCAAATCTAGAAAATGCATGAAGTCACTAAGGAGACATAAGATTTTAGCTCAATAACATATGCTAATGTAAATGATTTCTTGCTCTTATTGATTAATCACTTGGCTGCTGATGTACACAAACGAAGCTTCTGTAGTATTCGAAGGTATGAAGACCAAGATGGTGTGGCCGCTCAAAGGAGCACACCACACTACATCTAAATAGGCACGGTAAAAATTGTAACAGTGAAGGCGTGATAAGAGGATATAGGAAATGTGAATAGCCCAGGGCAGGAGAGATACAACTGTTTAGCATACATTTGGTCAAAGGATCGGCTTCACTTGTCTCTTTGACGAGTTGTTGTGTGGTGCAAGGAATGGCGAGACTCACTGACGATGCCGGCGAAACGTCTGGGAATGTACCACATCCATGGCCCTACTTTGGAAATTATCATGCATACAATGGACTCCGGACTAGATTCGTTCCTCTAAGTCTTCCTACCAATATAACCAAGTTGCGAAAACAATCTCAAACAACCTCTTCTGCATTATTATTCGTTTTTCTAATTGAACAGTTTTCTTTGGTCTGTCGCATAGTTAGCAGAACTGCATTGATTAGTCCCTTTGTGAACAGAAGGAAAGGCTTGACTTCTGAAAAAAATTGCATATTTTTCACCTTTTGTCTCGTTTTATGATGCCTAGCGTTCTTATGCCATGCCTCCTAAGAGAGCCTCCTTAAAATTTCAGTCAGCAAATCTTCATTAATAATTATTTCTGTGTAACTAAAAGTCAAACAAAAAACACTATGTAAACTTAATAAGCATATTTACCTAAATAGTGTGCTAATTTTTTTACATCTTGAGAGCACCTTACATTACTAGCTAAGCAAGATTATTAACAATAAGTCTCAGCTATCCATATAAAATCTCGAAAAATTATTTGTTCCAGAAAAGTAATAGAGCTAAAATAAGTGTCCACTGTTAAAAATCACACTAAAGCAGATAGATGCAATTCGCATCTATCCTGTGGCCCAAGGGCACTCGTGATAATATTGCGTAATGGTTAACATGTTTCGATTGCACGCTGTATTGTCATGGTTTGACTCCCATCTGAGATGATGATAAGACCTGTGTAAGGTCGAAACTGTAGTCCAATTCAGCCTAGATGACACCTTTTGAGAAAGTTAAGCTATGTGAAATTAAATGGAAACGTCAGCTTTAATCATATCATTGTGGTAAAATTCTACTACCAGTCTTTCATCACATTAAATGAAATGGGGTGAGTATATCTTATATATCTGATTTACTGGCAGTCTCTAAACGCTGTTTATATACGAAAAATAAGTAATGTAGTCTAATATTGTAGTAAAAATATCTTTGATTCATCGACAATCCCACCAAAGAAAATTATATAGAAAAAACCTAGCCTTCCCTGAAACTTACACCTGCCCTGTGACCCAAGGGCACTCGTGGCAATTCAGCTGAATAGTTGACGTGTTAAGCTCACCTGCTGCACTGTCACGGTTCGATTCCCGCTGGAGGTGTTGATTAGACCTAGGCAAGGTCGAAACTGCAGTCCACACTGGATGAGAACACCTTTTGGGAAAGCAATGCTATGTGAAATTTAATGGAAACGTCAGCTTTACTCATATAATTGTGGTAAACTTCTACTACCAGTCCTTCATCACCTTAAACGAAATAAGGTGAATACATCTCATATATAAATAGTGACGGAATATGCAACGAAGTATAATTAGCTATGAAGTAATTACCTTTATATTGATAGTTTTGTTGTGTAATCAAGTTAATTTTGTAAACGAATGAGAATTTCAATTCGGTTTATTGAAATGCTTATGCGAAAGTATGGTAAAGGAAGGATTCAAAAATTAACAACTCAGTCACAAATGCAGACTACCGTAGCGTTTCCTCATTTTCAATTTAACTAAGAAATATTCTATATTATTAATCATCTTCTTGAAGTCGATGTAGACTCAAAGTATATGTATATATATATATACACATTCGTGCAACGAATCAGTCGCCAACCTTGGCTTGCCTTCCAAAGGATGATAATTAGGCTTACCGCAGAATAGCTTCGATCTCCGAAGCCAATCGATTTGACTCCTCAAAGCAATTTGGATCTGGTGGTATTGGGCGTAGACTGGGAGGTATAAGGACTGGAGGAAGAATAGAAGGAAGAAGATCGAGGCTTGATGATCCAACGCCAGCGGAAAGCTGAAGCTGTGTGAGATGAAGAGCCACGGCAAACTGTTCGCTGTAGATAGAGCAAAAAGGGTATAACACTAGGATATTATCTAAAAATTGTATATCATAAATTTAAAAATAATTGTTGGTTAAATAATTATAAGGATGGCTAGGTATATTTCATGAGGTATGCAGCTTATCAGAAAGGTAAATGGTGTAGTTTACAGCCTTGGGCAACCAGTTGAAGGACTCTAATGCAATGGTTGGTGTGATTTGCCAATAGGCAATAAAGCCGCTTATAAAAATCGAATTAGCTCTAATAAATTTACTTATAATATGCGCAAATCAAATTTTAAGTTTCCTGAACAAAAAATCAGTGAGGCAAGATAGTTAATTCAGCTCTTTCGAAGTGCTGTAGCCTAGCGGCTACTTCTGTGTTTGTTTTGTAGTATGCAAGGTTCTACGTAAATATCGCATTTCGCTAGTAGTCCCGATTTAGACTTAAAGAGAAGCGCCAGCCACAAGATACCACATATCCCATGTTGGCTTTATGACAAAGGAGCAACAAAGATGATTTTGTTTCAAATAAATATACGTAATGTTGATACAAATTAATAGACGAATGGTTTATGACTTGAATTAGAAATAAAGGAAATAAGTGCCTCGTAAATATCAAGATCTAAATGGTGTGAGCTGTTTGGTCGCAGTATTCTTTAGCTTTAAAATGTTGGTTTGACCTCGATTTCGTTATTTGGCCAGAGCGTCAGGGAGACCTTGTCTGTTTCCGCAGGCAAAGACACAAGAGAATTGGATGGATGACTCTTCAACTTTATGATGGGTATTATGGAATACTAATGAATTGAAAGGATGTCTTGGAGAAGAATTGTAATGTTAGGAATATAAACAATGACTATGAAATCACAAAGGATTGAAAGAGGCAAATGTGAAAAAGAGGGGGCTGGAGTCTTGCACAACACCTAAGTAGATAAGAAAAAAAGCATTAAACACGAACACAACGGTAATTTCTACGATGTGCTTAAAATCGTGTTTCGTGCTGAACTTTTCATCTTTGATGAGCCAGTTTTTATGCTGGTAAAATTCTTCTGCTTGTAGATAATCTCGATTAGTTAAGCCAGTATTATTACCTGAATGATCTACACATTCAAACTTAATACTACGGACACAAGTACACAAACTAAGACAAAATAGCACATATAAGCAAGTGCGTGTGTGTATGGAATATATAAAAATTAAGTTAATTTCCTCGATTCGATGTCGGCTTGGCGAACCTGTCTCTACCTTGCTAATCACGCTAGAGGTTTCATCACACGCCTTTAGAGAAATAATATATTAGAAGTTGTTTGACCTTGTTTTCGCAACTGGGTCTTATTGTCAGGGCGACCTAGAGGAATCCATCTTGTCCGGAGTCCATAAGAGGCATGATAATTTATAGTCAGACTGCGGACTTAGCACATTCCCATATGTTTCGTCGGCACTGAGACATGCCACTCTTAGCACGAAAAAACTCGACAAAGAGCAATTGTATGCTGAATAGTTGTGATATCCTTCCTTTGTCTTCGTCTTATTTTGATAAAATTCAAGTTGAAATTTGCTTTTTATGACGCCTATGTTTCTTTCAATAAGTTCTCTGAGGTACCCATTACTAAGGTAAATCCGGATCAGTTTGTTGAACTCTCTGTCCCAGTACTCTACGTTGTTTATTCTTACGCTTGTGGTGATCAAACCCCTCATTATTTCGATTTTAATCCATTATTGAAATTATACTAGAAATTGAGAATTATTCCCGCTTGTGATTACTTTCTCTTGAGTATCTCTGGGGCCAGAGGGAAGAGGACCTATGGGAAGAAGATTGCGGATTAATAGGGCAGACTCGGATCAATACTTCAGGTGAGGGGGGAATGAGAGAGCCAACGAAGAGTGTGAATATGCCTCACTAAATCCGCTCAAAAGGGCACAACAGAACTAATCAAGTAAGAAATTGTGATAGTGACGGGGTGTTACAAGAATATAGGATAGGTGAATACCACAGTACAGGAGAGATACCACAATTGTTGGCCAAAGGATCAACTTCACTTGTCTCTTCGACGAGTTGTGGTGTGATGTTAAAAATGGCAAGGTTGGCTGACGATGCCAGCAAGGCGTCTGGAAATGTCACAGTGAGACTATAAAAATTATCGAAGGTATGTACCACATCCACGGTTCAACTTTGGAAATGATCATGCAGATAATGGACTCCGGACTAGATGCGTTCCTCTAAGTCTTTCTACCAAAATGACCATGTTGCGAAAACAAGGTCAAACAACCTCTATACTGGAAATTATCATTTATACTATGAACTTCGGATGAGGTGATTTCTTCTAGATTTTCCTGACAATAGAAATAAGTTGCGAAAACAGGGTAATAAACTTTACACAACGAAAAGAGACCGCGAACATACTAAAGGCCAAACTATCTTGGTCTTCATAACTTCTAATAATATATTAGGATTTATTGAAACCTAATATTGTTTTCCCTATGTACGGAAACTATACTTGACAAGGCCCTCGAGAGAGTCTATTGGAACTTCCTGAAGTGGCATATTGAGAATTGGATGGTTCAACTTGATCAGCTGAAATTAGAGCCTGCCTAAGAGGAATATTGACCTCATGCAAATTGTGATCAAAAAGAGCAGGAAATTTAGCCAAATGGACCTCAAAAGATTAAGTCAGATCATCACTCTTGGTTAATCCTGTAAGAGTGCAAGAAGTTCACACAAGTGAAAGCACAACGGAGGAAAAGGATATGTGCTCATTTATAAAAAGAATCTTCTCAGATAAGCATTGTGATGAGCGATCGTGGACCGAGGAACAGCACAATAACGCTCGAATCAAACGAGTGCTAGAAACTTAAAGTAGCCCAGTATAAATAAAAAGACCCAAATTTCATAAAGCTTTTTTATTATATTGATTTGAGAGAAGTTCTTATTTTGTTTAAAAGTTAATGAGAGACACTAATTCTCTATTCAAGATGTAAACCTGCATGAAAATGGTTTAATTGAATTAAAACCAAAGCTGAGGAGTTTTTAAAGAGACCTCAAGGTCAAGGTAAGATAAA